GTGATGTCATTTGGGTTAACTAATGCCCCTGCAGCTTTTATGGAGTTGATGAACGGGGTGTTTCGACCATACATTGATTCTTTTGTGATTGTTTTCATCGATGACATTTTGGTTTACTCCAAGACTGAGGATGACCATGTCCGACACTTGAGAATTGTACTTCAGAGATTGAGGGAAGAGAGGTTGTATGCCAAGTTCTCAAAGTGTGAGTTCTGGCTTAATTCTGTGGCATTCTTGGGACACGTGGTGTCCAAAGAGGGTATTAGAGTAGATCCAGCCAAGATTGAGGCAGTTAGAGGCTGGACGCGACCTACTTCTCCTACCGAGATTAGGAGTTTTGTGGGATTGGCAGGTTATTACCGACGATTTGTTCAGAGTTTCTCTACTATTGCAGCTCCATTGACTAGATTGACTCGACAGGGTGTGGGTTTTCAGTGGTCTGATGAGTGTGAGGAGAGTTTTCAAAAGCTCAAGACTTTGTTGACTTCGGCTCCTGTGTTGACTCTACCTGAGGAGGGTGTAGACTTTACTGTGTATTATGATGCTTCAGGAGTCGGATTGGGTGGTGTATTGATGCAAAAGGGGAAAGTGATTGCTTATGCTTCTAGGCAATTGAAGTCCCATGAAAAGAACTACCCTACTCATGATTTGGAGTTGGCGGCTGTAGTATTTGTACTTAAGTTATGGCGTCATTATTTGTATGGGGTGCATTGTGAGATCTTCACTGATCATCGGAGTCTTCAGTATATCTTTAGTCAGAGGGATCTGAACTTGAGGCAGCGTAGGTGGCTTGAGTTGTTGAAGGACTATGATGTGACCATTTTATATCATCCGGGGAAGGCCAATGTTGTTGCCGATGCTCTGAGTAGGAAGACTCCTAGCATGGGAAGTCTTGCAGCACTTAGCATTGAGGAGAGACCATTGGCTAGAGATGTTCAGAGGTTAGCTAATAGTCTTGTCCGGTTGCAGATCTCAGAGGAGAGTGATGGGATAATTGCTTTTATTGAGGCTCAGTCTTCTTTAGTCGAGCAGATCCGTGCGCACCAGTTTGATGATGAGAAATTATGTCTCATTCGAGACAGAGTATTGAGAGGGGAAGCCAAGGAGGCTGTCCTTGATTCTGACGGTGTCTTGAGGATCGGAGGCAGGATTTGTGTGCCTAAGACAGGAGAGTTGACTAGACTGATTCTTGAAGAGGCCCATTGTTCCCGATATTCTATCCATCCGGGAGCAGCGAAGATGTATCATGATCTGAGTCAGCATTACTGGTGGTGTGGGATGAAGAGAGATATTTCAGACTTTGTTTCTAGGTGTTTGACTTGCCAACAGGTCAAGTGTGAGCACCAGCGTCCTGGGGGTGTATCTCAGAGGATGCCTATTCCTACTTGGAAGTGGGAGCGGATCACTATGGACTTTGTTGTGGGTTTGCCTACCACAGTGGGTGGTTATGACTCCATTTGGGTTGTTGTTGACAGGCTGACCAAGTCTGCCCACTTCATTCCGGTTCGGGTGAAATATACGGCAGAGAAGTTAGCCGAGCTATATATCAGTCAGATTGTGCGACTACATGGGGTTCCTGTTTCTATTATATCAGATCGAGGTTCACTATTTACTTCTCACTTCTGGAAGGCATTACAACATGGTTTGGGTACTCAGCTAGATATGAGTACAGCCTTTCACCCTCAGACAGATGGTCAGTCCGAGCGGACGATTCAGGTGTTGGAGGACATGCTCCGAGCATGTGTGATCGATTTTGGTGCTAGATGGGATCGACATTTACCCTTAAGCAGAGTTTGCCTACAATAACAGTTATCACTCTAGTATTCAGATGGCCCCATTTGAGGCGTTGTATGGCAGACGATGTAGGTCTCCGATTGGTTGGTTTGATTCGGCAGAGATGGACTCTTTGGATACTGACTTGCTTAGAGATGCTATGGAGCAAGTCCGTAGGATTCAGTATAGACTGTTGACAGCCCAGAGTCGACAGAAGAGTTATGCAGACCGGAGAGTTAGAGCCTTAGTGTTTATGGAGGGCGATCATGTTTGGCTTAGAGTGTCACCTATGAAGGGTGTGATGCGGTTCGGCAAGAAGGGCAAGCTTAGCCCTAGATTCATTGGACCTTTTGAGATTTTGGGTCGAGTGGGAGAGGTGGCCTATAAGTTGGCCTTGCCACCTAGTTTGTCGGCAGTTCATCATGTCTTCCATGTCTCTATGCTTCGGAAGTATATTCCGGATGAGTCACATGTGCTTTCACTCGATTCAGTGGAGTTGAGTCCAGACTTGACATTTGAGGAGGAACCTATAGCTATATTGGACAGGCAGGTTCGAAAGCTTAGGACCAAGGAGATTGCTTCAGTGAAAGTGCAATGGAAGCACCGATCAGTGGGAGAGGCAACTTGGGAGACAGAGTCTGATATGCGTGCCAGATATCCTCAGCTTTTTTAAGCTTCAGGTACTTTCTTTCACCTTATGTTCGAGGACGAACATGATTTTTAGTGGTGGATAATGTAATGACCCGGATTATCATTTTTAGAAATTTACATAAAATTTCCGTTTTTACCCCTCTCAATAGTTGACTCGAGTAATTTTTGATTAGTCGGTGAAGTTGATTTGAAAATTTTGAATTATTCGATAACTACGGTTATTTAATTGATGGGTATATATTAAATAATTTATTTATTTAGTTGGCGGTTAATGGGTCAATGCCATAATATATATATTAATACCCTAACTATTTGACCCATGTTAACATAAGTTAGTAGGGTTTTTATGTTGGTAAACGACAAATTAACGAGAACAAAAGTAGCTTCCGGGAAAGAATACTACGGCGGCACAATCTAAGGGGACGACAAAACGTTCAGGTAATCATAATTATCAACCACGCCTATCTTTGTGTTGTGCATATGAGTAGGCGTCCTAATATTAGTATTAAAAATGTGGGACTCCTGTGAATGAAAAACAAACCAGAAATAAAAATCGAAGGTATATAGGTTTGACGTTCTGAACATGGGATTATAAATAAGTGTAAGTATTATGGTCCAATCATTGGATAATGATTACTCCTAATCATTGGACCATGATTAGGATTATTAGTAGTGGGACAAGGAATATGGATTGAAACATTGAAAATAGGTTGTTTTAGCAGGTAGTTTTGTAGTCCGCCACTGGGGTGCTGAGTAGTTAGTTTCGACTTCAATTATTTTCATTTAATTATCTCATATGATTCAAGTTTTGGTAATAATTGAGATATGTAATAAAATAGTGGGTGTATTGTGATATATAAAGATCATTAAAATTATATTATTTAGAGAAATTGAAACTTAACCCTAAGCTTGAAATTTGGAAAATATGAGAGTTGACATGTTAATTGACAGTTGACATCAAGATTTAGGAACTTGATTATAAATTCGGATGATTTTTGGGTCTAGGCTAAACCTATAGTAATATGGGCATTGTTAGTTCTGAAATCTTATTGTGAATATGCACTTGAATAGATTACATTGATTTGGAAGCTCAACGGAAAGGGAAGACTCAAGTCTCGGAGTGATTATTCGGTTATTTAAGGCAAGTGGATTTCTAAACCCTTGTTAAGCGTATGGAATTCGTGTATTTCCTTGTGGTATATGTTTGGGAGTAATGTGATCAATTGTTTGTGTAATGTGTTGAGAATTGTTTGAAAGACTTGTTGAATCATCGTTGAACTTGTGATTTGTGCAATGTTATGAAAATGGTCATCTCCTCATTATTTGTGTGAACATGTCATTTGCATTATTATGAGACATGGTTGTGACAAGTGTTATGTGCATTGAGAAAGAATAAGAAATTAAGGAGGATGTACCATTTCGAGGGACGTATCGCGCGCCGCGACGGATACTATATTTCGAGGGACGTGTCGCGCGCCGCGACGGATATTATATTTCGAGGGACGTATCGCGCGCCGCGATGGATGCATGGACAGATATGTCCCCCATGGGTCCCGGACTGAGAGACAGCGGGTGTGTATCATTAGGTCAGACATGCATCACTATAATTGACATTGCATTTCATTGCATTGCACATTTTTATTATTAATGAACTTGATCTTGTGTGTTGTTGATCTTGTGAGTGCCTTTCTGTGAAATTGGTTATTGACGAATATTGAGGTGTTATTGAGAATATATGACCTGTTAGAGTGCTATTGTTGAGTTGTATGCTTTGTAAATTGTAAATTGTTAGGTTGGGTTGGTTTTATGCAGGTTGTAGTTATGGAGGTTAGGATGGGGTGTAAGGAGTACCCGTATTCTGTACTCTTAGCTTGTGTTTAGAGGTTTGCTTGTTGAGTACCGTGTGGTTTGGTACTCACCCCTTGCTTCTACAATCTTTTGTAGGTTACGAGCCCGGATCTTCGTGATACCTTCAATTCTCTTCGTTTCCGAGGTTTTCTGTGGAGATCTGAGAGGTAGCTGTTTGTCATCTCAGCGAACCTTCTTACTCCTGTTTATGATTTTGTTTTTACTTGAAAGACAACGTCATTTGAGACTTGCGTATTTTCTTTCAATTCTAGTATTTACATTAGAGGCTTGTGCACGTGACAACCAGGTTTTGGGGATTGAATTAAGTTGACTTGTTTTCGTAATAGTAATTGCTATTGAACTTTGCTTTATTTCCGCACTTTATCGAAATGATTGGGTTTTAGGCTGACTTGTCTTGGTGGGATACGACGAGTGCCATCACATCCATTTTTGGGTCGTGACATTTGAATTCATTTAACAGATATTTACTACTTGTTTATAAAAATATCCAATTTGAGGATTGAGATGTTTCAAAATATTCAATTTTTCATTTATTTACATGAAATAATTCATCGATTAAATTTATAACTCGCCTTATCACATCATGCATGTGAAATATATCTAACATATGGGTAAATAATAAATTTGATTGAGTTCTTTTTAACGATAGTCATAAATGATGGGCTAAAGGGTCTGAAATTTAATCAAGTACAACATTTAAATAGCCCTTCTTAAAAACATAAACAAGTTTAACTTAAGGTGCAGAAAGTACAACTTAATTACAACACAGTCATATGTATTATTGCATATGATGTGTTCGTAATAACCCTTTATTCAAACATTACATGGAATTAAAGAAATAAAATTAAAATAGCAAGTACATTAAACTCCAAATTAAATTAAACCTCAGCCACAACTATGTCATACTCCTCTCGATCATTGAGAACCCATTTTCCATCTTCTTGTTGAACCATTCCTTTGTTCTTCACAGTCCACCAATTTGCTGGGACAAGATACTCACTTTTCAATGCACCTGAAGATTTGTTAACAAGCGCGATATCACGATCCACCTCTAGTTTAAAACCTGTTAAAAGTCCTATACCTTGAGTTCCCGCAACTCCATGCATGTAACACTCCAAATTATGCCATGTGAGGATATCTCCAGGGAAATTTAAATAAGGGGATTTTGTGGTGTCGATTATTATTTCCTACCCAACGTCGAGATAGCCAATAGGTGGGTATTTTGGAACAATATCCAATATGTTATGAATTCTCATAACGTGAAGGTGTTTCAATTTGTTAAATGCGTTTAAAAAATTGAGATCTCCAACTTTAGGACTTGCAAATACAAAAGCTGTCACTGGGAATTCCTTCCCATGACTTGACTTGTTGATTTTATTGTAAGCTATGTCAACTGCATTCAGAGTCGCAAGGGATGCACCTAGGCTATGCCCAGTCACAGTTATGCTCACCTCTTCATTCTTATATTCCTCGACCAATCTCTTCACTTCTTCAAGGACCTATACGTAACGTACTCTTTAATTAAATGGCATTAAATCAAAATATATGTACGAATTCAAGGTCAAAATTATATATACCTGATCTCTAGCACTTTTTTTATTAAACTTTGATCGTGCACTTTCTGATGTATAAACGTTGTAGAAGCCATGATGCACCAATGGTTTGAACAAAGGAAGTAAACCCCCATCACCAAACACTTTTGGTCCTGGAATTGGTAAAAATTGAAGGTCATTAACCCACTCCAGTGTTTGAATTGTTCCTCTCCAAGCAATCACAATATCTCTTCTTCCTAGTGAAACTTTACCCTCATCAGTAGACACAGCAACATATCCCATAAAATTTGATTCCTTACTCCATGCTTCCCTTGACAATGATTTCGTAATGAAAGCATCAGGAAGTGGCATGGATGAGGTAGCATAGAAATATTTGGTTACACGATACTTCGATGGGTCAAGGCCAACATTAGAGAAAAGATTTTCCATCGAGTATCTGCTAGCTCCTGCATATTTAGATACTTTATCAGAAATGAAGGTGTCGTAAGTCACTTCAGCTTTTTCTCCATATTGAATGATATATTTACGAAGATCAACATCCAATGGATTTAATAGACCTTCCCAATTGTTTTTCCCACTAAGTTCCTCCCATTTCTCAGCCATGCTAGACATCTTTTTTTTCTTGATTTTTTTTTTTTTGGTTACTCTTTAGTTTTTTCTTGGTATGTGAAGTACATTAAGCCCATGAATTTATAGGGAAAAAACTTCGTTGATCTCTAAGGTTTTTCAATTTTCATGCATGAAACACGTTTTGATTTTAATTTATTAATTTTTGTGAATTATATATTGTCATAGTCCAGTAATAAATGAATTAACCAAGAAAACATTAAAAATAGTAGTACTAATAATAATGATTTCCATATTGAATTTCTGAACTACTACCACCATTAACATTTTGCTGTTTGGCCATATGAAGAACATTTTAGCATATTTGAAATAATATATAGATAGTATTAACTTCAAACTTCAAATATAGAATTAAATTGCATCAAGTTTGGCCAAACATGTACAATATTACTCATTTTTTCATAATCAATGTAGCATTCCACGTTCTCAATAATACACATTGGTTATCAATTTAGAGCAACATACAGTCTTCCAATATCAATCATTAGATATGAACGTAATCATCACAAGTAGATACACAACACAATTCAATGGTCCTCTCACGGAACCCAATTCAATGGTCCTCTCATGGAACCCACACCCAAACTGTTAGCATACCGGAACGTGGTACCCGATCCAATGTTTATGTCAGAACGTGGCAACCGATCCCATGTTTATGCCGAAACGTGGAAACCGATCCATTCAACAAACCACAATCACAATCACAATGTATATTCTCACAATCGTACAACAAGAGGTGATTCATGTCATACAATTGTTCAATTATTCTCATTTACGATTAGGGTGATCAATAATGCAACATTCGCATACAGACATGCATTATAATGAGCAATTACAAACATATATCACACCAACATGAAATCACAACCAACACCTATCTCGAAACAGGCTTGAAACCTTAAGAAACTTGATCCTTCCCTTTCCGAATTCGTTCCGCACTACAAGAAAATATACTTATTGCTACGAAATATAAGCTATGAATTCAAAAATTGTAGCTATTACCTAGTAATAGCCATAAAATACAAATTTCGTGGCTATTTAAAAATTCATCAAACTTTTTTGCCACGAATATTAAGTTTACAAAGCTAAATCCTTGTATTTGCTATAATCGCTAACAATCATGACAATAATTATCTAAATAGCTACAATTTTATTGCTAAAATAAAATTCTGTAGCTAATTATAACTTTTTTGCTACCCAATAAAAATAATTGTAGCAATAGCAACTCTTTAGCCATAATAAGTTATTTGAAACAAAATATTGTGGCTAAATAAATAATTTTGCTTCAAGTTATAAAAAGATGTGGCAATAGTTAAATGATATTGCCATAGAGTTTTGCTATAGTAAATTTTCGTAACTAATTACTATTTTTTGCCACGAATTTTAATTTACCGTAGTAATAATAACATTTTAGCCATAATAACTTATTTGAAGAAATATTTGTAGCAAAACAAATAATTTAGCTTTAAGTTATAAAATATTGTGGCAATAATTAAACGAAATAGACATAGATTTTCTTCTATAATAAAAATTCATAGCTGATAATTATTTTTTGCCACAAATTTGAATTTATCATAGTAATAATAACCTTTCAGCCACAATAACTTATTTGAAGAAAAAATTGTAGCTAAATGTTTTTTTTCAAGCTATAAAAGTCGTGGGATATTAAAAATATAATCATAGATTTTTTGCTATAATACAATTTTATAGTTAATTATAAGTTTTTTTCACGATCATGTTGAAACTTATTGAAGTAATAGTAATCTTTTATACATAGGAAGTAATTTAAAATAAAATATAATAACTTAATAAATATTATGTTTCGAGTAGCAAAAAATTGTTACAATAACTAACTTAAAAGTTAAAATTATTTGTCATGAAAAACTGATACAACTATGTGAGTACAATTGTGGTGATACGTTTTATTTAATACAAGGTGAAACGTAAGCCTTGAGGTGCTTCATCTTATGTTGAGAATTCATTTTATGCGACTCAGACCTCTTCTATCGAACATTATATTTATCGAGCTAGCTTAATTAGAGATGTCAATCTTTCTATCAATTCAATTTTACAAGATCTTAATTTGGAAGTTTTAAGTATAATTTAAATAAATAGAACTTATAAAATAAAATAGAAGTTATGTCTAATTGATAAATCAATTGTTTGTTGAATATAATTAATACACATAGGAAGCCATATTGATATTCATTTTTTTTAATTTTCTGCTATTGGCAATTTTTATTTATTTCTTATTTTAATGTTAACTTCCTAATCCATATAATTTTTGTATTTTCAATTAAAACTACAAAACTACAATACAAAATTCCCATCTCTATTTAAATTCAAATTGAAATAACCAGACAAGTTGTCTATTTTTTTCCTATAATATTTTGAATTCATATAATTTTTATATTTTAATTCAAACTAAAAATAGTAATTCAATATTAAGAGTGGTTATAAATTTAACTAAACACTATTCCCTTTGTTCCATATTAGTTGTCTATTTTTTCCTTGACACGATGCTAAGTAATTCAAAATAAAAAGAATAATTTTTACTACTTTACCCCATAATATTTTTTATCTGGAACTTCATAAACATGTTTACAGTTTAAAAAAGAATTAATGGTAAGGGAAATTGAAAAAATTGTAATTGATTTTCATCTTTATTTCATAAATTGACAATTAATTTGAGATAACTATGAGTAGATGATCTCTTTACCATCTTATTGCGCGACACCTAACATCAAATATCACTAAAAAAATCATCAAACCTGACCACCTATTTCACCATCGAACTAAGGGGTCAAATGGGCGGGTTGGGTTGAAATTAGAGATATTAAAATAGGTTGAAATAGAAATTGGGTTGGGTCTTGGCCCCCCCAAGTTTACTTTGGGCTCAAATGGGTTGGGTTCAAATGGGCTAAAAATGAGTTGGGTCTTGACCCGTTCAATTTGACCCAATTAATATCAATATATAATTTTACATAGTGATATTTAACTTTTATAATCACAATTAGAATTTCAGCTCAAGATTTTTTTTTTTAAAAAGTAACAAATGGATAGATAAATCTTAAATGATGTTAAATAGATAATAATTCATACCTTTAATATAGGAACATATCTTAGTAAAGAGTTTTAAAACGGGTTGAAATTGGAGATTGAATTGGGCTCAATTGAGGATTCTCTTAAAATAGGTTAGGCTTGAATGAGTTGAGATTGAACCAAATTCAAATTATCTTGAGCCCAACCCTTAAAATTCTGGACGGATTACCTATGTTTGGGTTCATTTTTGACACCCCAACATCGAACACTCAAAAAAATAATTATTAGCATTTATTTACAAAGAGCTTAGTCGAACAATTGACAAATTAATGCTCGATTAACCATAACTAATTCTGTGAAAAATCTAGAGATGGTGTTTTTAAGAGAGAAGAAAGATCTATAAAAATACATTATAAGATTGAATTTTGTGCAAAATTTAATAACTTCTTACAAAGAAGAAAAAGGTACGGAGGTGTTCTTATTTCATGTTCTCACAATCAACAAAAAAGACAAATAAATTGAATAATCAATGCATTTGAAAAATTTAATGGTGGAAGTTGGAGTAGTAAAAATTGATCAATTTTAGGTGTCTCGCTAAAATCTTTTTCAAGCACTGAACCTAATTAGTTGAACAACTTTGCATATCTTTGTTGTGAAATTTGACCTCAATATTCTTTTATGTTTTTTCTCTCAAAAAAATTACCATTAAAAAAATTGATTTGTGGTAAGACGAAAAAATAGAGGAGGAGAAATATAAGATGGCGTGAAGATGAAGGGGTGGGGAGTCAGTGGCGGATCCAGGATTTTTGCTGAGGGGGTTCAAAGTATAAAGAAGATAACACAAGTGTGCGGTGAGCGTAGTAGTCTCTCGGCATGCTCTTTGTATAAGAATCATAAATATTTCATTGGTTCATAAAAGTAAAATCTAAACGAATCAAAGATATCGAGGACAAAGATACATTGATAAGAATTTTAGCGGATCAACTGTATTACATAAATTAATTCCTAAAACGTGTGAAAATTAAATGATGAAAAAGGGAGCGAGACGGGAAAGAAAGATATTTACCTTATCATGCTAAATCTAACATACTTTATTTTACCATATTAAACATTTCTTTCTACTTTTATCATGCTCCATCGAGCATTCTTAAAAGTTCTTGTGTTTTTATACTTTTATTTTGTAATGTTTTACTTTAGTTTTCACTTTTTAAAAAAATTAAATTTGTATCCATTCAATCACATATTACTATGAAAATCGTCAAGATTCTCTAAAAATGTGTAAGAATAGAGTTACTAATATTATAATGCATATTCAAAAGATAAATAAATAACGTCGTCAATTTTTTTAGTTCATATAGTTCAATATACTAGGTTAGTCATAATTTGTAAAAAAGACAAATAACGAATAAATCAAATAAGTTTAGTTTTCATCCCTCTAAAATAGAATTAAAAATATAAAATAATTTCATGAATTCTATAAATTAATATTTTTAAAAGGGTGTTAACGATATTTAAGTTTCTTCATTAAATTACATCTAATTTACCTTTTAAAAATAAATAATACATATATATATATATGTATGTATATATTATTTCTATCTCAATTTCTAGTTAAATATAATTCATCATATTTAAAAGTTTTTTAGTTTCAAGTTAGTATATGAAAAGGAGTTACGTTGAAACAACATGAATAATAGATATAAAAATAATAAAAAATAAAAATAAAAAGAATGTGTCTAATAAATTTAAACAAAAACAAATTAAAAAGAAGAAATGGAATAAAAGGAAAAAATAATGAAAAAGAAGAAGAAGGTCTAAGCCCAAAAGTTACATTTTCCAAAGCATTAAAAAAAATAGGGGAAAAATGTTGCCCAACGGACTTGAACCCATGACCTAGGGGCACGCACATCTTGAACCACTTATCCATTGAGCCAATCCTGTACTTTGTTTACAAGGGGTTCATTTTAATATATATACCCATAAAATCAGAATTTGACATTA